CGCATGAGGTCAGTATCCACGAAGCCTGAGTCACCCTGAGGCAGTTTGACTGCACTGCTCCTTAGAGCTGTACTACTTGCAGGCGAAGCCCATAGATCAGTACACTTCTTTCAGTTATGAAGTTATTTCTAACCAACGTGTGAAGTTATTTCTAATCAACCAGATCTCTGTCTGCTCTTTATAGTACCAAGTAACATTGGGCACTGGCCAGTGACCTGAGGAGGACTCAATCTGGTATATCAAAACCCAGTACCAACTGAGCTGAAACAAAACCTCTTTTGGCTGCTATGGAATAAGCCAGCCTCAGTGTACGTACTGTTTACTTCGAATTAAAACTAAACTACTCTTCAAGCCCATGCAAGGTATTATGTATGTGAGTGTATTTAAATGCTACCACATTTGGACTATAATTTATACTTGTATCCAAATTACATGTGTATGCTTATACACACGGGGACATATGCACGTGCGTACACATAACTGTGTACAAACACTTATCACAATGCCAGTTCTCTACCGTTGGACTGTTCTTGTACTATTGTACTATTCGTTGTACTGTTCTCAAAGAAAACACATGTATCAACCCAGTACCTATTATTTCATCCAAGCACTGTACTTTGGTTTTAACAGTAACAGAGTAACTTGCTATCTTTGAAATGCCAATGGCTTTCAAATCGCTTGTCAGAGCCCCAAGAAGTTCTTGCTCACCCTCCTGCTCCTTTTAGCAGAGGAACAAAGAGGACCAGTGGCTATCCCAGACTAAATCCCACTGTCTCTTCTGCCCCTTTTTGCCTTTTGGCAGTGTTATTTTACACAGACTCCATTATTTTGAGCTTAAAATCAGCAAGGCATGTTCCACATGCCTGCTCAAGAAGACCAGGAAAAAAAAAAAAAACCAAACCGCAATTGTTCATTTCCATACTTCTGAAATAGGGGAAAAAAAAAAAAAAAAGGAAAACAAAATAAAGCCCTAACAAAGAATGGGATTCCCTCTGTTACATAAAACAGTAAGTTAATCTACAAAAAACTTTGAAGATGAAAAATACGTTGTAAAAAAAAAGTATCATCCACTCAACGCAGTACCTACATTTTTCTATATAATAAACTAGATAAACATATTAAAATATTTTAAGTCTTAAAAAAGGGCAAAATTCTTCAAAAAATGACTCAACACTGGTAAGGTTAGACTAAACATTATGCCAATGCATTCATTTGCACAACTTTTTGCAACATGACGATCATCTGGTGTGTGTACACGTAGGTATATGCGTGTACGTGAGGGGAATGGAGCAAGAACACTAAGGGTGTCACCTGCCAGTTTAAAGCGGTATTTCACAAATAATCAAACAAAAACCCTACAAATACCAGTACACATCTCAAATATTGCAAGTCATATTCTACAGCCCTTGACAAAAAAAAAAAAAAAGCAAAAGCTGACAGAATTAATTCAAGTACATTTGCAGCAGGTCCCGTGTGAAGTACTGTTGTTTGCACTTTAGTTGCAATGAACGTGGACAGAGTGCCCCAAAAGGCACAGAAGTGAGCACGCCTTCCCCAGCCCTGCAAAGTCAGTCTGAGTTGAGGTACAATGATCCGTGATTTGCTCAACGTGGATGCCCAAACTTGAATGAAAAATGATGCTTGAAAAACACTTTGAAGCAAACGACAAAATAATCTATTAAAATGAGAAGCTACCTTTGTCTAAAGGCAGTCTTTTTGGTATGTAATCCTATTGGGATGACAAGCGTGGCACTACTTCCCAAATTCTGGTCGTCTTGAAGCTAACAATAAGGAAGCCTTTACGCTGTCCTGGTCGTCATTCTGACCTGACACACCCTTTCCTGTGAGCCTCCATCCACCACCCAGAATAACCCAGCAGGTTATCACACCCTGGCTGAAATGTACGCTGCTTCTTCGCCTCTTTTGTTCCCTACTTAGCTTTGTTCCTCAAAAGGAGAAGCAATTCCCTCTCCATGTTTCACGTGTTCCTTTGAAAATACCTGCAGAGAAATCTGCCTGCCCGAGGAGTTAAAGTCTGGTGAAATCCCTGTGGTGCTGCAAGTCCCCTATGCTCTCATAGTCATTCTCTCCTGAAAGAGAAGTGTGGTTTGTATTAGGCACAGACAAGGTCCTGTCGTCTTCCTGGCTCACTGACTGGATAGCTTCATAGTCAGGCTCCAGCTCCCCGTTTGGTCTGTCCGCTGACTGAGGCACAGTGGTAGTATTTAGGGTGTTTTCAAAGTCCCTCACACTTGCATACAGGCCGCTGCAAATAGATGGGGACCTCTGAGATGCAATTTCTTGAATACAGGTGTAAGGAGAATCCAGTGCCTTGATGCCCTGTCCCGGCTTACTCACCGACGAATACATAGCTGAGATCTAGG